CTTTGTTGTGCCTTTATCTAGGTTTGGAATTAGGATGATGCTGGCTTTGTAAAAGGAATTTGGGAATCTTCCCTATTCTTTGATATTTTAAAATAGTCTGAAAAGGATAGGAGTTAGCTCTTTCTTTTTTTTTTTAAAGATTTTAATTATTTATTTATATTAGAGAGGGAAGGGAGGGTGAGAGAGAGAGAGAGAGAGAAACATGAATGTGTGGTTGCTGGGGGTCATGGCCTGCAACCCAGGCATGTACCCTGACTGGGAATAGAACCTGCAACAGTTTGGTTCGCAGTCTGCGCTCAATCCACTGAGCTACACCAGCCAGGGGCTCTTTCTTAAATGTTTTGTAAAATTCTCCTGTAAAACCATTTGCTCCAGAGCTTTTGTGTGCCAGGGGTTTTTTGATTATTGCTTCAATGTCATTAGCTGTTATCATCCTGTTCAGGCATTCTGCTTCTTCTTCATTCAGTTTTGGAAGATTATATTTTTCTAGAAATTTGTTCATTTCACCCTGGTTTTCAAATTTCTTGGCATACAGTTCTTCATAGTAATTTGTTACAATCCTTTGTATTTCTGTGGTATCAGTTATAATCTTTCATCTTTCATTTCTGAATTTGTTTTTTTGGGCCCTCTCTTTTTTTCTTGATGAGCCTGCTTAAAGGCTTTGATTTTGTTTATCCTTTCAAAGAACCAGCTCCTGGATTTATTGATCCTTTGGGTTATTCTTTTAGTCTCTATGTTGTTTAATTCTGCTCTGATCTTGGTTATTTCCTTCCTTCTGCTTGCTCTGGGCTTTGTTTGTTGTTGTTCCTCCAGTTCTTGTAGATTTAGGGTTAAGTTGTTTATTTGAAATGTTTCTCTTTTTTAGAGACATAGGCCTGTATCACTATGAACTTTCCTCACTGGACTGCCTTTGCTGAGTCCCATAAATTTTGGATTTTTGTGTGTTCTTTTTCATCAGTTTCCAGAAACTTTTTATTTCTTCCTTGATCTAATTATTAACCCATTCATTGTTTAATAGCATGTTGTTCAATCTGCACAAATTTGAGTGTTTTTCTATTTTTTTCCTTGAGGTTTGTTTCTAGTTTCAGTCCCTTGTGGTCTGAGAAAATGCTTGCTATGATTTCAATTTTCTCAAATTTGTTAAGGCTTGTTTTGTGTCCTATCATGTGGTCTATCTCTGAAAATGTTTCATGTGCATTTGAAAAGAATGTGTATTTTGCTTCTTTGGAATGAAAGGCTCTCTCTATATATCAGTTAAATCCATTTGATCTAGGGTATTGTTCAATGTCACAATATCTTTGTTGATATTATGTTTGGAAGATCTATCCATTTTTGACAGTGGGTTGTTAAAATACCTTAGTATAAGTGTATTGCTGTCCATATCTGTCTTGAAGTCCTCCAAGATTGTCCTTATATGTTTGGGTGCTCCTATATTGGATGCATTGGATCCAATGCATTGGATCCTATATTGGATATATGTTTACAATGTTTATGTCTTCTTGATGGATTCTTCCTTTGAGTATTATGAAATGTCCTTCAGTATCTCTTTTTATGGCTTTTGTTTTGAAGTCTATTTTGTCAGATATAAGTATTGTTACCCCAGCTTTTTTTTCCTGTCCATTTGTTTGGGATATTTTTTCCCAACCCTTAACTTTCAGTCTTGTAGGTCTTTTTTTCTGAGATGTGTCTCTTGTAGACAGTATATGTGCAGGCCATGTTTTCTTACCCATTCAGCTACCCTATGTCTTTTTATAGCAGCATTTAATCCATTAACATATAAGGTTATTATTGATAGGTAGTTATTCATTTTCCCCCCTTTGTACCTGTGTTCCTCTCACTCTTTTCCTTCCTCTTCTTAGAGCAGTCTCTGTAGCATATATTGCAGTGCTGGTTTGGTGGAGGTATATTCTTTCAGCCTTCTTTTGTCTGGGCAACTCCTTATTTTGCCTTCCATTTTAATTGAGAGCCTTGCTGGATAGAGTAGTCTTGGTTGCAGGCCTTTGCTTTTCATTGCTTGAAATATTTCTCATCATTCTCTCCTGGCTGTTAGTGTTTCTATTGAGAAATCAGCTACTAGCCTTATCAGAACTCCTTTGTATGTTACTTCTTGTTTCTCTCTTGCTGCTTTTAAGACTCTTTGTCTTTAAAACTTGGCTTTTTAATTATGACGTGTCTTGCAGTATGCTTCTTTGGGTTCATCTTGATTGGGATCCTCTGTGCTTCCTGAACTTGCGTGGTTTTCCCCTCTCCAAGTTCAGAAAGTGTTCTGTCATTATTTTTTCAAACAGGGTTTCTATGCCTTGTTCCTTTTCTTCTCTTTCTGTTATTCCTATGATTCCAATGTTGTGGCATTTCATCTCTTGCAGTTCCCTAAAGCTATCTTTATATTTTTTTAGTCTTTTTTCAAGCATTTGCTTTACCTGGGTATTTATTTCTCTTTGTCTTCCAGCTCACTACTTTGGTCCTCTCCTTCATCCAGCCTGTTTGCAATTCCTTCTAGTGTGTTTTCATTTCAGAAATTTTATTGTTCATTTCTTTCTAGTTCTTGTTTATAGCTTCTATTTCCTTTTCCATACTGTTGTAGCTCTCACTCAGTTCCTTGTGGATGTCTGTGAGTTCCTTCAGCATACTTATAACCATTCTTTTGAATTCTATATCTGAGAGTTTGCTTACTATTTCATTTAGCTCTTTTAGTGAGGAGTCTTCCATTCCTTTTGATTCAGGTTTTTTATTTGTCTCCCCATTTCAGGTGACTCTTTTTGCTTGTTTCTGCAATTCCCTATGCTCTGCTTTGCTAGCTGTCTTTGTAGGGCGAACTTATATGGTAGGAGTTCTGTGGGACTCAGTGTGGTGGTGTCTTTGATCTCTTTGCCTGGATGCTCTAGGGCACAAGTGGCAAGCACAAGGCCCATGGGCCAAATCTAGCCCTCCACCTTGTTTTATCTGGCCCAGCACCTTATTTCCACCCAACAGCAGCACCAAGCTCCTTGACCCTAGTTAAGGAGTAGTTACATTTATACAGTCCTAAAATTACATTTGGCCCTTTAAAGGCAACTGTAAGGCTGATGTGGCCCCCAGTGAAAATGAGTTTGACACCCTGCTCTAGGCTTGCCCTTTTTTCTGTTTGAGTGGGCTCTCTTTCTGTACTTGGATTTTACATGTCCATAGCTCCTTTGCTGGTGGGTTCTCTCCTCCAGTGGGTTTACTGGTGTTCACAACTCCTACCTTATCTTGTATGTGATCTGAGTCATGGATGGTGAAGGCAGAGTGGATTATGATAGTGGGAGAGTATTCTATGGGATTTTAAGTACCAATAAGTAGAGAACAGATAGGAGATCCTTTGGAGAAGTACAGCAATAACTGATATTTCGTCCAACTACCCACTTTTTTTAAAGGTGAAAAAGAGATAAGACTCTTGTTAGAGGGGAAAAAGAATGTGAACTGACTCCAGGAAGCAGAGCACTTATGCTAGGTTAGATGGTAAGATAGAGTGAGAGCAAGGAATAGACTAGGTGTAGTGTGTGAGAGAATGAAGTTAACCACAACAGTAATAAAACTCGGGAAGATAGTAAAGTGGACCAAGACCAGGGAAGGGTGCTGTGTTGGAATGGGAACAAAAATAATATCAAAACAAATATATGATCTGCATAAAAAGAATGAAAAGTAAAACAACAAGAGTAGTGTGTTATAAGAATATGAGTGAGGTGAAGGAAGAGAAATTGTAATGCAATATGAAAGGGAGAACAAAGAAAACCAATCAAACAATAAATCAAACAAAGAAAACTATACAAAAGGAAGAGAAATATAATAATATAAAGGTAATAACAAAAAATAAAAGTAAAAAATAAAATGCAAGTTCTGTAGGATAGCAACATGAATTTTGTCTCAGTTGTTGGTCTCTCTCTGGATCTGTCTTTGATCCTTTCACAAGTCCAGGTCTTATTGTCTTACACATGGAAGAAAAAGAAAAAAAACACACATCCTGTTGACTTTAAACCCACCAAGCAGGATCTACTGGTCTTCCTGGATATTGCAGGCAGAGCGGGGCTGGGCTCCATTGTTTTTCCTTTCCTATAGTTCTACTTTGGGAGCTTGCTCTTGGCTCCAATATTCACAGGTATCCAGCCTCCAGCCCAAACCCTCAGAGCACTATGAGGCCCGCACTGCCCATATGCACCAGGCTGGCACCTTTAATCTACCAAGTTGTGCCATCCTTTGATTAATTCATGAGGTGCACCGAGTGGGAGCAACTCACATCCCTCCTCCCTCTTTGCTGTTCTAGGTGCTGTGCACTCACAAAGTACCTTCAGGGAAGTTTAGCTCCCTATTAAATTAAGTCTCTCTGAGGACTGCTACCGCACTGAGCCCCTGCTGCCCCACTTTGATCAGCCTGTGAGGTGCCCTGATTTGGAGCAAATTGCTTCCTCGCTCTTCACTGGCCTGGCCATAGCATGCAAGGGTTCCTTAAATAGTAGCTGAGAGCCTTTTTTTTAGCAAATTCCCCTTGTTTGAGCCAACCATTCTTAATAAGCACCCAGCTTTTCACACAGCCCAACTCTCTGACCAGTCCCAAGACTACCTGGGTCATGGTCATTGTGGTCCAACTCTTCTCCCATCTCCAGGAGTCACCTAGATCCCCAATTTCTCTGGTACTGTCCCAGCCAGTGACCATAGTCTTAGCCGGGAGCACTGCCTCTGTGCATCTCCCACTGAGTTTTTATCCCCTCTCCCCATAACTTTAAGCATCCAGGTCTCTCCTGGTACAGGACTAACTCCCCTGATCTAGGAGGGGAGGGAGCTGCAAAGTTAAAATCACTGACCTGGCTCTCCTCTAAAACTCCTGTGGCAGCCACTGTCCCCAGAGCCAGGCGCCAGGCCAGGGATCACAGCAGCCATGGTCCCTGAGCAGGTCCCAGGGACCTTACCTTCCCTACAAAATCTCCTTACCATCTGTTTTTCAATGTGTCTGCAGTCTTTGGCTTCCAAACTTCATATAAGCTGGGATTCCATGGGCTGTTCACTCTGCTCTTCAGAAGATCAGCTAGGTGTTCCAGTTGGGTGCATGCTCAAGTGGGTTCACCTCCCACCTACCTTGCCACCATCTTCCCAACTCTGAAAGGAATTTTCAAATAGAAGTCAAATAAGATAGCAGAGGGGAAATTTTTTAAGATTTTATTTATTTATTTTTAGAGATGGAAGGGAGGGAGAAAGAGAGAGAAAGAAACATCAATGTGTGGTTGCTGGGGGTCGTGGCCTGCAACCCAGACATGTGCCCTGACTGAGAATTGAACTTGTGATGCTTTGGTTCACAGCCTGCACTCAATCCACTGAGTTATGCCAGCCAGGGCTGCAGAGGGGAAATTTTTAATTTCATTTCTTTTGCTACTTTTCTGTTTATGCTGATAAATTATATAATGTAAAATATCTAAATAATAATTAAATTATTGTAAACATTACTAATAAGATCACTAAACTATACATTATAAAGACCAGCTCCTTGCCTGGTTTTGATCATCTTTTGTTTATAATACCTGCTACAGTGCCTAACCACCAATAAATATTTGTTAAGTGAGGAGATAAATGAAACAAGTGAATCATCTACATTGTTAAACTGCTGTTGCAGAAGAAAGTATGAAACCATTTCTACTGATGACATATGTGTGACTGAGATTAATTAGAAACATCCTCAGAAATGTGCACTCACAGCATTTTGAAAACAGCTCTATCTTGGTGAGATATGTGGCCCAGCCTGACCTAACAAGCCCCTCAATTCTGAATTAGGAAGGAGAAACTAGCCAATTTCTAAATATGCTTCTAACTATAATATATGATTCCATGACTTGTATTAGGTGGAAAGGGAAAGAGATAAATTGTTAAGGACTAATGTCACAAGCCCCTGGCCCTTAAATTTACCAACCAAAATGTCCCATGACAAATCTTCCAGATGGTTTATGCTCTAGGTAAGAAACTTTACACAAAGTGAATTTGATTAATGTTTCTACTTATACCTTCCCTCTCAGATCCAGGCTTTCTTCCCCAGTCTTTCACTGAAAAATGTGCTTCAGCTTTAAATAAAGTGGTAAGAACGTGAGATGTTGGTTGTTCTTGGTTTTACTGTCTCACACTCCTACAACAGGAGATTCCAAAGCTTAAAGACTTTTCACTATGTTAAAGACTGCCTCTGAATCAGCCTGGTCTATGAAACTGTCCCTTAGGGAAACTGTGATATACTCATGAATCCAATATGAATATCTTTATAAAAAGTCTGTTATCCAGATATTTTGAAACTTCCCAACCCCTTTTTGTATAAAATGTGAATGTTCCATGTTAACATGAGCTACTCCTACATGCAGAGCATGGTGTAACTCAAGATCCTGACAATTTTGTATGTTATCCAAAATATGTTTGCAGATTTTTCCCTCTTGCCTATAAAACTGCATTAAAGGAAATGTCTTGCTCCATAAGTATAACTGTCAAGTATTTAAGTGACTTGCACTTCATCATCATCATTACCAAAATCATAAAGTTCTTTTTTGGTCCAGATCTGGGGTCATAGCGTATTCAGCCTAATCAACATATGTTTGAGTAACGCACTGAGAAGATGCAGTCACTAGGTTTTTATCCCTAAAGGGACTATAACATCCAGTTATTTCCAGATGTAATTTCTATAGGAGAAGCAAGATGGTTAAATTCATGTGTCAGCTTGACAGGGTAATGGGATGCCCAGATATTTGCTGAAATATTTGGTGCTTAGTGTGAGATTAACATTTAAATTGGTAGACAGAGGAAAGCAGATTGCTCTATAAAAGAAGGTGGGTCTCATCTAATCAGTTGAAGGCCTGGATAGAACAAAAAGTCTGATTCTTCCCTGAGTAAGAGAGAATTCTTTATGCCTCAAGGTCTTTGGATTGGCTCATTGGCTTTTTCCTGCCTTTGATTTCAAACTGAAACATTGACTTTTCTGAAATCTTGACCCTATTAGCCTTCAGTCTGGAACTACACCACCTTTTGGCTCTACTGGGTCTCCAGCTTTGCTGACTCACCCTGCAGTTCTTGAAACTTTCCAGCCTTCATAATCACATGAGCCAGTTCCTTATAATAAGTCTCTGTTTCTTTATTACATATCCTATTGGCCTGCTTCTCTGGATAACCCTGACTAATACAACACATAAGATTCAACCTATATAATTCAACACATAAGATTTCATCCACTGATAGAGGATTTGTGGAAGATGACAGAATAGGAAACACCCAAAATGTTTGAATGTCCTCCCCACCCAGAGGACAAGTACACTGGCAAAATCTCTATGATGCAACTATTTTTGGAACTTGGGAGTTTGTTGAAGGATTGCAACTTCCATGGAAAGAGATTTGGATAGTAAATTGCAGTTAATTTCAGTCAATTTCAGCTCTTAGAACAGTAGCAGCTACCCATCCTCTATCCCCAACTCTATGGCAGGCAACTATGTACACACATATTCCTTGAGCAGCTTGCACACAGCTTATAGGGACCAGAGTAGGCAAAAAGTGCCCTGTCTTCTAAACATTGAAAATCTGCTTTCTGCTCATCAACTATATTTCTGATCACAGAGGGGCAGACAAAAATACAGCAGCCATTGTTATCTAACCTCTGCCTAGTTTTGCAAGCCCCTCCACTCCCAACAGAAGTGATCTCCAGGAGATTTATGTGCCTCCACCTTCTTTTTTTACATTTTCCCCTTTTAGAAACCAGATATTAGAGTATTACAGAAACTTTCAAAGTGTGAAAAAGGTGGGGAGTGGTTCCATGAAAAGTAACCTCATAGGGAGATCTGATCATAAATTCCTAACTGGGCAGGTCACGGTGAGTAGTCATTTCCCAGAAATATAACTTTTTAGTAGAAGGTTTATCTGTGCCTTAAGCAAGCCTATATATTGTTTCTGTGCATTTGGTTAACACACCCTTGAAACAAGGCTCAAAAGAGCACATGATCTTGTTAACTATCCTGTAATCTAACCCCCATCTTACTTTCTCTCACCTCCATATAATCTTCCTTTGTTCCCTCATTAATTTAAAATTCATAAAAGAAGCCACAAAACTTATTCTCTGGAGCATTTGAGATCTTGCTCTTGAGAGTATGTCATCAATTTGGCTCAAACAAACTCTTATAAAAATTATCTACAATTTTGAATGTTCTTACATTGACCAAAAAAAACTATAAATGAGAAAAAATAGAAAGTGATCATGCATTCCCAGGGAAAGGCTCAGAAAAAAAAAAAACAGAGAAGCCCTTAAATTTACATGTTAGGCTGACCCTTGGCCTAAAGACAACCTACAACCACCAAAAAATAAAAACAACAAAGAACAGCAAAATGTTGGGAAAAAGAATCTGACTTCCATGGTTATCACATTATTAAATTCAAATATTCAGTGTGCAACAAAAAAGTACACGGCATATAAAGAAAAAAAGTGTGACCCATTAAAAAATATATCAATAAAAACTGTCCCTGAAAAGACCTAATGGCAGATCTAGACAAAGACTTTAAAACTATCTTAAAGATGCTCAGAGAATTATAGGAAAATGTGAAGAAACAAAAAAAATAGGTATGAACAAGATGGAAATATCAATAAAAAGAAGATCTTTTAAAATCCCAAAAGAAATTCTGGAGCTGAAAAAAAATCACCATAGAGTTTCAAAATCAGATGTGAAGACAAAAGAAAGTGTCAGTGAACTTGAAGATATAACTACAGAGATTATCAAGTATAAGGAATAGAAAGGAGAAAGATTGAAGAAAAGTAAACAGAGTCTAAGGGACATGTGAAATACTCTAAAACTAATTCTGTAGAGCTAAGATGTGCAAAAAAAAAAAAAACAGGACCTATATGTTTGATTAGTGAACTTTTAGTCTGGTCCAAGATGTTAACCAATAAATATCTGAGGTCGTAAAACAAATCAACAGTTTATCTGGGATATTAAGAAATTCAAATCCAGGAGACAGAGCCAGATAACAACCCAAACTCTCCTTCAAAGAGAACAAAGAAAGATAGGGTTTATAAAGGCAAACCCCACACATTTTGCAATAAAGAGAACTTGCTGTTGGTCAGGTCTTGGTTGTGATACTATGAAGTAAGGAAGCTCCAGAATGTGTCTCCACAGCAAGCACAGACATCCTGGAGTTCAATCTTTATTTGGGTCTTCTATACAAATGAAGGCTACTGGCTAGTGAACCTGACTGGCTCCTTTCAAGATGAAGAATACAGGCGGTCTGATTGCCATGATGAGGAAGAAGTAACATTCAAGATGTAGTCTCGACAGCTGGTTCAAAAGTTCATGGTAGATCAAGCATTAAGGAACCTCTTCATGATCTCCCAGCTCCATTTTAGTTCCTATGACATAAGTGTTTCTATTGTGGTAATTTCCATGCACAGCAGCTCCCTGTTTTCATTGAGATCTTTCCATAGAAAGCATTGATGGTCAACCATTTGGGTATAGAGTTATCCAGAATATTTGGGCTCTAGTTATCAGGAAGGCTCATTTCTGGTGTGTCATGTCTCACATGGGAATAGAGGAAAGAGGTGTTATCTGAACAAAAGTCATAGTCATAAGGCTAATTGCCATCTTTGAGCAAAAAAAGGAGGTTATCAGAAGTATTGGATATGTCTTAGGCAGAGTCCTTACCCAGAACTGTCTTTCATCAGGATTTTGGTTATGGGTAGTGGTCCTTTGGAATGGAAGCCTTGATTGATCACCTCAGATCTCCATGAAATCACTTTCTGATATTTATAGACTTTTTAAGACACTTGGTTATACGAAACATCAACAGTTTAACAATGGAGAGATTTAATTAAAACAATTTACAATCCAAACTTTAAAATAACCCCAGTCCCAGTTTGGAGCCAGCTAAAAATATTGGAAAATTTAAATCCTAACCATTCATTGGCACTTGCAGGTAAAATGGAATGTACCTTAAGGGACTTTGAGAGTTTAAAAAGCTTGGCTATTTCTAATTATACCTGGAAAGTGGTATTTATCAGGGGCAGCAAGAGGTATTAGCTATGGCACAAACTCATCCTTGGGCTGCAAGCAAATAAACTAAAGCAATCCTGTGTAAAGAACTACTTAACTAGGGAA